TCACCTGATTGAAAGTTGCTGTAGGGTGGACTCACTCATGTTAAGAGAGATGATTGAAGAGGGAAGAAACTAGTTCTTTCAGATGGGTTGGGGAACTTTTGCTTTCCAAATAATCATCTAATTATTCCAGTTCCTTTTTATTAAATTTCACTTTATCCTTCCCTCACTGGTTTGAAATTCCATACGCTGAGAACCTGGAGATTCTGTTTTAGACATGCTAGTTATTGTAATGAAAATATACGTGAGAGGGAGGGCCATAAATGAAGGTAAACCAGCCTGCTGAGATTTATTTGCCATTTGTATCCTAGACATCCCAGCTGAGGGACAAAAATGCCGGTTTGTCTGAATGTATGCATCATTGTGAGAACAGAATAGTTGAAACTTCAATTTGAAGCACAAGGAGAGTGTCTATGAATGTCCGAGTTGAGTTACCACTTGGAAAATTACGGACTATTCTTCCATTTCTACAAGTTTAACACACACACACACACACACACACACACACACACACGATTGTAGAAAAATCCCTATAATAAATGAAGGTTTGCTTGTATTATGTCAGGATTGTGTGAGAAGGAGGTATCTTTGATGTGGCTATCCCAGGCATCCATAAAAGGCAGTCATTTTTGCTTTAAAATTCTCATCTTTAATTGAACTGAAAAGTGAATTTCTGCTGGTTGTTGTCAGAGCTGTGTGTGTGTTGACTGATGGTGTAGAGAGAATTGTACATATGACAGATTCGGGGGGAACGATGAGCTTGGGACTCTGAAATAAAGCCAACGTAAAAAGGGTTTTGGATGTCCTCACAGCTAGTTGTTGGTTAGTGAAGAAAGTGTTGAAACTATTTGGAGTTTGAATTTTGGCAGTTTTCTTACTTTCTTACTAAACTGTCAGACCTGCCTTTCGCTGTCTTTACACACTTTCTCTCGGAGACTTATCTACTCATGGTGTTAACTGTTACTCATGTAGTAATAACTGCTATATCTATATCTCTATTGTCCAAAACAGTAATGTGCCTTATGTTTGTATGAAGCCGCACTCCTATAATTTGTGTGAAAATGTTATAAATTGAAACTGTTATCCAGTGTTATTTGAAACTCACAGTAACCAACTTTGCAGGTGAGCAGACTGGATTTTTTTTATTTTTTATTTTTACAAAATGAGAACACTGAAGTCCCGAACAGTTAAGAAATTGCCCAGAGTAAAATGACAATTTAGTAGAAGAGCTGAGACTGGAACCCAGGTTTTTTTTGACTCTCAGTCCTCTATTGTTTCTGTTCTGCCACATAGTCCTTCTAAACCTAAC